TCGTGTCGCCGGAGACCGATGTCTGCTGCCAGCCCGGCGGGGACCCGCGCTCTGATCCTGGCACGAATCGGAGACGGCTGGGCCGAAGGTGCACCGTCATGGCGCCGACTGTGGTCCATGTCGGAGTCAGAGTCGGGAAGACTCGACAAGCCGACAGGGGTGTCTCGGCCCCACGCGGCCCAAACCGTTCTTGCCTCGAAACTTGCAGGGAGAAACAAGTGAGGTGCCCTGCATTGTGGTGCTACATGATTACTCATCGCTGCGAAGCCCAAGGTGGGGCCAAGCTTAGCACACCATGAAATGGGGCCGATGAGACCATGGGGAGTCCACGAACCTCCCTCGTTGGTAACATCAACATGAATATTGAGATCGCGTGTGAGGATCGTAGCGGCATTCGACGTCGTCCAGAGCCGGTGCCGGCACTGTGGAGGCCGCCGTTCCCGCTCCCCAGCCGTGCCGGCCGGCGTCCAAGCATTTCACCAAACGGACCATGAAAACTGACCTCCTTACTGAATCAAAACAGAGGCAGCTGGGCGGCGCGCCACTCCGCTCAATGACGGGCGGCACGGAACGCTGAGCGGATGGGTGCGTGATGAGGGACACCGCTCGGACGTGTGTGGGAAGGGGACACCGCTCAGACGTGTATGGGAGGGGGACACCGCTCAGACGTGTGTGGGAGGGGGACACCGCTCAGACGTGTGTGGGAGGGGGTCACCGCTCAGACGTGTATGGGAGGGGGTCACCGCTCAGACGCGCATGGGAGGGGGTCACCGCTCACACGTGTATGGGAGGGGGTCACCGCTCAGACGTGTATGAGAGGGAGTCACCGCTCAGACGTGTGTGTGGGGGGGGGTCACCGCTCAGACGTGTATGGGAGGGGTCACCGCTCAGACGTGTGTGGGAGGGGGACACCGCTCAGACGTGTATGGGAGGGAGTCACCGCTCATACGTGTGTGGGAGGGGGACACCGCTCAGACGTGTATGGGAGGGGGTCACCGCTCAGACGTGTATGGGAGGAGGTCGCCGTTCAGATTTGTATGGGAGGGGGTCACCGTTCACGTGTATGCGTGAGGTCACTGTTCACATGGGCGTGTTAAGGGGTTACGATCCAGCTGGGTGTGTGAGATGGGACACTGTTGAGACAGACTTAAAGGGAAGGATACTGCTCAAACGGACGTGCGAGAAGAGACACTTTGGACGGGAGTGTGTGGAGGAAACTGTTCCGAAGCTGCTGAGAATAAGTTCCGGGTGTGCCGTTCATTGGGTGGTCATCACATCGAAGAAATCATTTGCCAGTTGGGCGTAGATGATGATTTTAATTGTGCGTTACGAAAGGTTTGCGAAGATTGCAACCGGTTTCAAACGATGTCGCTCAGTGTTTGTGGACAGCCAATAACTTGCTAACACGCACAGATTTTTCAAGTTAACGCAAACGTTCGGAGATTCAATTTCCTAACTTCTAGCGAAAGGCATGACATTATGTTAAAACCGCCTTTCGTCCTATCAGAGCCGTCCACATCGTATGGTGTTATGCTCGCGGTTGATGGCCAGTTGTCATTCGACAGTGGTACATTGGCCCGTCCAGGCATTACACTTGTCCAAGACTTGCTCCCGTTTCTGACGGCTTACAACACGTCATGCTAGTTTTCTAGCGGACCATGTGGCGATATACTCGATCATCAAAGTGATGAATTTGCTCAATGTCGAGACGCTGCTTATGGATTCAAAGTAGAGTATCGTGAAAGACTGCACCGGAAGAAGTTCATGATATTCTGCACGTTGCATAACCCTATAGCTGCGCATTATGCTTCAGTGTTCGTTTAACCTTCGCTCTGATTCCCTTCAGCCACACACGGCATGGGCAGGCATGTTATCATTCTTTGCTCTGACTCCTGTAGGCACATACGGCATGGGCTATGTTGCTGCCATGATAGATGTGATTATGTATGCCATTGGGGTAGGATTCAAAAGCCTTCTGCCGCTATATTTCCAAAGCCCGTCCAAACGGCCGATTGAGCTGATGAAATAACTACGAAACACCAAGCACACATCTTTACAGCTCACAGTCGACTGACTTTTCACAAAGGATCATTTGGACGCGGTGCGCTAGTGTCGGTTATGCGTCATGGCCTGCAGCTCGAGTCATGACACGGAACATGAGCAATAGGGAACGCTTCTTTTCATTGCCCAACAACATTTGTGCCTGTTCCGTGTTGCATAGTAAACAGAATCGTGTGACAGCAGTTCAACGTAATTGATACACTGCTGGGATTGCAAAATATGGAGCACACGGGTGGCTTGCACTTCGTTTACATTCTGTCGTTATCCTGTTGCGTTGTGTAATTGCTATTATTTCGCTAATACCATCGCTATCATTGTCACCTTTATGATCGTCTATGGGCCATGTCATGATTGTGCTGGCCCCCTTTTATTGGCTCACATGTAAGTTGCATTTCCAACTCTGCTTTGCACTTAATTTTCATTTGGAGTGCCACGGTGGGTCTCATCCATCTTTTGCTGGAACCGAGGGATGAGTGCTTCGAGTAATGCATTCTTGCATCTCGGTTAGGTAAATCGCGCTTGGAATTCGAGTGTAAGCTTTTCAATGAGTCTGCAACGCTATTCCATGAACCCAGTCATGGTTATCATGTTTAAACAGCCATGTGGAAAACAAACTGTATGATGAGTTTTGGAGGCTAGCGACGACTTCAATTGGCAGCTCAAAACATTAAGCATTGTCAGCTCTCACAGTGTCTGGCTCGGGCACGACGTAACTCCGGGCTGCGGGCCTGGCTCGAACCCACGACCTTTCGCGTATTGCCGCGGTTTCCAGCCCACGATTTTTCGCGCACGACCGCTGGCCCGAACCCACGACCTTTCGCGCATGGCCGCGGGTTCAAACCCACAGCCCTCGCACACGGCCACGGGCCCACGACCACGACTGTTCGTGCACGGCCGCTGGCCCGAGCCTACGACCTTTCGCGCATTGCCGCGGGTTCGAGCCCACGACCTTTCGCGCATGGCCGCGGGTCCGAGCCCACAACTCCTCGCGCACGGCTATGGGCCCGAGCCCACGGCCTTTCGCGCACGGCCGCGGGCGGGCGCCCTAATAATCGAGCAAATATGTTACCGACGGATGAAAACATGTGTGCCTTCCTACCCAGCGCCAGTTTGGCTCACGTTCCATGCTGTCTTCACGATAGGAGACACATTCAAGCAGGGCTTCAGCTGTCATGCGATTATAAATTACAAAGCTAGGACAAGAGCTCTTGTGTGCATTGTATCTTGATATCAATTTTAGTGTGGTTTTTGATTTTTGTCTCCAGTGTGTGTTTCTGTTGAATGGCTGACCCCATCCCACGAGTCGTGCGTACGGTAATTATGCATGTTCATTCAAATCAGCGAGACCACACTTTCTGTGCAAACTACGCAACCTATCCATTGCGTTGGAATATCGAAATGGCCTAGAAGGTCCATATCGCCTTACTTCTATCAATTCATACGACGACGCCCATATACTCGGGCGGCTTGGTGGCCAGACATCTGACTCCCCTGATCTGTGAGCCTGGCTGCGCCTCTGGCAGTGTCTGACTCCCCTGATATGTCGGGGTGGCTGCGCCTCTGTCAGATTTTGACTCTCCTGATCTGTAGGCCTGGCTGCGTCTCTGTCAGATTCTGACTCCCCTGATCTGTGGGCCTGGCTGCGCCTCTGTCCGTCCGTGACCCGCCACTCTGTGACCGGCAGGCTCCAGCCAGAAGATCCGGCCGTCCCCGTGCCGCTCCTCCAGCACCGGCCGCCGCGGCGTCTGCATGTTCGTCTGGGAGTGCGTCAAGAAGGGCGGCGCGCCGGTCGGCATCTGCACCGATCGCTTCATGTTCGGCGGCTGCTGCGAGCTGCCAGAGGGCGAGTCGATGACGGCCGCCGCCTCCACCACGGCCGCCGCTGGCGCGACAGACGCCGGCGGCTGGACGTCGCTGCTGGAGGCAGCCGGCGCCACCCAGCCGGCGGCGCCGGCCGGCGGCGCCTGGTCCTCCGCCGGGCCGGCCTGGAGCGCGTCCACGCGGCGGCCACTCCCCTCAACGTCGCCGGTCAGGCCGTCCACATACCCCGACAGGCCTGCGTCTTTCCCGGACAGGCCCTACCAGTACCCGGATAGACCGTCTGGTTACCCGGATAGGCCATCCACGTTTCCTGATAGACCGTCAACAGCTTATGATAGGCCGTCTACATATCCAAATCGTCCGTCTACATACCCGGACAGGCCGTCCACGTATCCAGACAGGCCGTCTACATACCCGGACAATCCAGACAGGCCGTCTACATACCCGGACAGGCCGTCTGCATATCCAGACAGGCCGTCTGCATATCCGGACAGACCGTCCACATATCCAGACAGACCGTCCACATATCCGGACAGGCCATCCACATACCCGGACAGGCCGTCCACATATCCGGACAGACCATCATCATATCCAAATCGACCATCCACGTATCCCAATACGCTTTCAACATATCCTGACCGACCGTCGTCATACCCAGAGAGGCCGACTTATCCCGACCGGCCGTCCAGCTCACCGGACAGACCGTCATCGCTCGCCGACCGTCCGGCCCAGTACCCGATCAAGCCGTCCAGCTTCTACGACCGGCCGTCCACCATCGTCGACGAGTGGCCATCGCCGGGGCCGGAGGTCACGCCCGGGCCCTCCGTCGACCACGTGACGGCGCCGCTCCAGTGGGGCTCGTCGCGTCCGTCGCGGCCCGGCGCCGCCGAGCGGCCCACCGTCATCCCCGACGAGCTGTCCGAGCAGGAGAACGAGATCCCTTCGGGGCCGCTGGGCGCGCTCAAGCCCAGGCCCCCCGCCTGGTCGCGCCCGCCGCGGCCGACGCGACAGCCGCCGCCGCCGCCGCCGGCCGGCCAGCAGGCGGCCTCCTCTAGTCAGCTGGCGGCGGCCGGCGGCGCGGGCCCGCCCGCCGTGCAGTGGGTCGAGGTGCAGGCGACGCTGCCGGACGTGTCGACGCCGTGGCCCCGGCCGACGCGGCCGACGCGGCCCGGCTGGCCCGGCCCGCTGGGCACTACGCCCATGGCCACGACCACTACCACTACCACGACCACTACCACCACCACCACGAGAGCGACGACGACGACTACAACCACAACGACGACGACGACGACGACAAGGACGACGACGACGCGGCCGCCGCCGCCGAGGACGACGCGTCCCGATCTGGGAGCGACGGGAGCTAGTCGGGCAGCAGGTGAGGGGTAGGCAGAGGACATGGATCAGACCTGGCTTGGAATGACGGGAGCGACATGAGGAACGGGAGAGGCTGGGGAGGCTTTAGGGCAACTTGTTCGTAGGGTCACAGGAGGCAGATGAAGTACAACAGGGGGACCAGGAGCTAGTCAAGAGGCAGGGGAGACAAGAGATCAGTCTTTCCCCCGGATGATGTTAAGTAGGGTAGGGGATTGGAGGGGATTGAGGGATTGAGAGGTTGTGGGGGATTGAGGGATTGAGAGGGTTTATTGAGCTGAGGTGGTGGGCAAGATGAAGTAGGAGATATATCCGAGTTGGAGATGCTACGCCATCTTCACATGGCATGTGTCATGTTAACATGAACGCCAGCAGACGGTTAGGGCCAGGGCGCGTTAGGTCTGGTTAGGTCGCGTTAGGTCGTTAGGTCTGAAAAAAGTCCGTCTGACTCAGATCGCGTCACTCTTCGTGACGTCACGCTGTGCCAATACCTCTTCAGCTGTATCCTTCACCTTAACAGGTTCGTAGTCTCGTCCCTCGGTTGTGACCGTGGCACCACTGGTGCAATGCTCGTGGCGAGGAGATGCTGGGCTGCATGTAACGGATTCAGTCGCGTTCTTCGGTAACATGACACCCTCCCGTAAACACGGCCCACCCTCTCTGACCGCCTGGCCCGTCCCACAGAGTGCGGAGTCCCTCCGCTGTTCCCGCGCGCCGTCGACGTGGCCGAGACGAGGATCGTGGGCGGCAAGAACGCGCCGTTCGGTGGCTTTCCGTGGCAGGTGTCGGTGCGACGCACCTCCTTCTTCGGCCTGAGCACCACGCACCGGTGCGGCGGCGCCCTGCTCAACGAACAGTGGGTCGCCACCGCCGGACACTGCGTCGACGAGTGAGTCCGAGTAACGGGAGGGGGGGGGGGGGGTCGCTGATCGGCGCTCGCGCACTGCCTTCTTGCCGGTAGGATCAGTGATGATGGCCGGTAATCAGTGCTTGGGAAGTTTGTCTGTGTTTTTCAGCATATATTGGTGGTCGGAAATAAGCATTTCTTCCAGGACTTTCCGACCATTCCTATGTGTACTGCAGCTGCAATGCAACGATATGCAATGCACCCCAGACTGCAGTGAACCTTTGTCGAGCAGTTGGCCAGCTGGGCTAGGTCTTAGGTGGTATAGGACACTTCGGTTAAGCCCTATCTTAAGTCCTGACCATCAAAGCGCGTGTATGTGACCATCGCGTATCGCTTCGTAAGTTAAGTCCTGACGGTTAATTTGGTTTTCTCAGTCGGTGACTTGGTTTTTACAATTCCGGATCCGGCCTGACTCATCATGTTGTCTGTCGCAGTCTGCTACTGAGCCAGATCCGGGTCCGGGTCGGCGAGTACGACTTCGGATCCGTACTCGAGCCGTACCCGTACCAGGAGCGCGCGGCCGTCAACAAGATCGTGCACCCCAAGTACAACTTCTACTCGTTCGAGTACGACCTGGCACTGGTCAAGCTGGAGAAGCCGGTGGAGCTGACGCCGAACGTACACCCTATCTGCCTGCCGGGCAACGACGACCTGATGGTGGGCGAGAACGCCACCGTCACCGGCTGGGGACGACTGAGCGAAGGCGGCACGCTGCCCAGCATACTGCAGCAGGCGAGTGAGACGCTTGGCTGGGGACGACCCCGCGTCGCCCACTGCGCTGGGATGGCTGGGGACGGCCCCACGCCGCCCGCTGCGCTGGGAGGCTGGGGACGACCCCGCGTCGCCCGCTGCGCTGGGAGGACTGCGAGCGCAGAACGTGCTATTGTCCGTTACTCTAAGTATTATAATTATAGCGTGTCTCGATTCAGCACCTGAGTGCAATCGACTGAGCACATAGAGCCATCATCGAGGTAGTGAACCGAACGCGACCATTGTCACCGTTGCTGGTTATCTAATGACCGAGCGGAACCATTTCATTAGTCACTGACGTAACGATGCGTCACCTTGTGCCGCTACAAGCCCCGTCACCGCACGACAACCGCGCGCGTCCTCCGCCAAGCACCGGGAGCAGCAGCGGCTCCAGCGGCGCCGGCGCCCCTCCCCCCCCCCCCCCCCCCCCCGACCGGGGATCGCGGCGGGCGCGCTCCAGTTCCCCGCTGATCGGAGCCGGAAAATGAGGCTCGTGAGGCGGGCGAGCTGCGGGGCCGGCGGCCCGGGCCAGCCAGACGCGAGGCGTGACGGAAGTGGCGCCGCGGCGTCGGCGGCGTGCACGGCCGCGGGCCCGCCGGCAGCGGGGCTTTACGCCGCGGCACCTGTCGGGCGGCGGAGCGGACGTCCGGATCGTACGCAAAACGTCGTGTGTTGTTGGTGTAAGCGCTTATGAGTGCGGAGGTGACGCTCGGTGGTCGAGGTTACACGGGCGTATTTGTCAACTTCCCGGGTGGGGTTGACTTGTGACGAGCGTAACCTCCGTGCCTATGGGCATGCATATATTAAGTTCATCAAGTTGATGCGATGATATCATCTAGAATGCTCGCGTCGTCGTAAGACAAAGATTGTGCTGATAAACTGGTTCATCCGCAGGCCACCGTTCCCATCATGGAGAACAGCAAATGCAAACAGCTGTTCAAGAAAGCTGGGCGCAAGGAGTACATTCCAGAGATATTCCTCTGCGCCGGATACGAAAACGGAGGAACGGATTCTTGTCAGGTGGGGATTTACCAACCACGCGACGGTAATTTATACCAACGGCGCATTTTCAGGCACAGGAATCATGATACATGTTCACCGAACCGGAATAATTACGTAAGCTTTTGTTTGCATCTGATTTCATTTAGGCTGCGTTACCACATGAAAAGGATCGACGTGGAAATATATGCAAGAGCAGCTAACACATAGGCGTTAGCATCAGTGCCTTCCACTCTGCGGTGAGTACTGCCACGGAAGCGTAAAATCTGGCCGCACGACGTCACGGCTTGGAAGACACGGGCCCCTGGCGGGTAGAGCTGCGCGCTGCTGGATTACATGGAAAGTGTGACGTCGCTCGAGGAATTCCAGTGAAGTAGCACAGCGAGCCAACACCGCTGAATGTCGTCAGCGTCAAAGTAACGGATAATTGCAAGTAATGAAGCAAGCATATACAATTGCACGAGACCGTTAGTGAAAGTACGAGACTCGTTATGGCTGTGATGGTTGATATAGCAGGTTGGGCTGCACGACCAGTGTCTCATCTACTGCGCCAATCGCACGGCGCGCTCAACACGCGACGGGGACACCGTGGCAGCTGTGCCGACTGAGCGGACGCCGGGCGTTGGCAGCGCCCGGCGGCGGCGCCCCGGCCAGGGCGTACGTCCCGAAGCCCGGCCCGGCCCGGCCCGGTCCGTGCGCCACGCTCCAGGCCGGCGTCGCTTCCCACGTGTGTCTGACCGCCGTCCAGCTCGGTCCGTGCCGTGCCGGGAAAGTGTGGCAGGTCACAGACGGGCGGCACAAAAAGCGCGAGTGGCGGCCGGGCCACGCCTCGGCCGCCCGGCCGGCGGCGGCGACTTCAGAAGCCGGTTTGCAGGGCAGTGTCGCATGACAATAACAGGTGGTGGCTGTGGTCTAGTTTCTGAGGAGAAACGGCGACAAAATCGGCAACGGGTTAGAGCAACGCCGTCCACACCCTTCAGGTGCGATTTCTCTGTTTGTCAGTTGCATGTTCTTTCCGGCCCGCTTGCCCACTTAGCCTTTTCTCCCACCTCTCTCTATTGCTCTGTTCTGTCCGTCTCGGTCTCCCACCCTCTGCTTGCATTTTGGTCTCAATCATCAGCTGCTGTAATCAGCTGTGACATGAGCGAGTACTAAGAGCCTACGAATATCAGCTAAGCATATGCCAGACATCAGCTGTGTATACGTGATCAAGCACTCCTGTTATTAACTATTGCTATCCTGGCCAGTGTTTCTCACACCGTACTTCACCCAGCACCTTGTTGTCCGGGCCCTGATGTGAGGTGACGATGAAAAACAGTTGTCGTCTTCGTCGGTTGTCTGCGAACGCTTACCGCGACAAACATCAAACTCGGACAGACGTCAAGATCATCTTGGAACGAAGATTTCTCATTGGGATCACGAACGGGAGAGAAACGGTTGAGAGATCCAAGCATGACTCGATATAGAGGAAACACTCGTCAAGTCAAGGCAAGCTCTGGCGATGCCCGGCTAGCCGACCTTGTCGGATACGCGTTTCTTGGTTAACCGGGCAGAGGGGCCGGGCTGGCTTTCTTCCATCGAGTCCGTCAGGACTGCTGCCCAGCCTTCCGTGGGCTCGAAGCCACTGGCGCAGCAAATCTCCACCGGGCCGCTTTCGCACGAGCGACGTGCCTGTCAGCCCCACAGTCCATTCAGCGCCACCACCGACACCGGTTGACGTGCCGGACGGGGGTCGCACCCGCGTGCCGGCCCGGTCCGGCCCGGCCCGGTCAGACCACGTGTCACCGTTGTCCGACGTCGGCGGGCTGGCCGGCCGTCACAGGCTCCGGCACCAGCGCCCGGAGAGAGGGCGGCCGTATCACAGTCACCGCGTCTGCATGGCAGGTCAAGCGCGCTGTGCCACACCGGCGCGCCGGGCAAGAACAATGTGCGGCGCGGTGGCGCGTGCGCTCATTACAATCAGGGCGCGCGCGGCGGCACTTTCCCTTTCCTCTTGTCGCCTGTCACCCGGCGAGGACTGCTGTTTGACAGCGGTGGGTAGGGCCGTGGGACGAGCAGTCACGGCTCAGCGGACACGGCCGGCTGGAATGCTCACCCCACGACCGATCCCAACCGGCGGATCTCGGATTTTTAGAGGCGCTGCTACTGCTCCTTAAACCTGTTACATCAACAATCCCCGTGGATATTGGAGTATGGTGTACTCGGCGAAAGCGCCTGGTCACCGAATCCGAAACTGGATCTGTTAATGTAGCCGGATGTTCAGCGCCCCGAAGAAACGAAACATATAAGCTTGCATTATAGAGCAGTGCACATGCCATCATCATAGCAACCCCTGCCATCGTAGCATAGAGTTGTGTTTGCTCTCACTGCCAGAGAGCACGTAACAGCTGAGCATATAAACGATGCAATCCACTTAGCACAGCTTGAGCCGTAAGACGCCCAAAGGCTTGAAGGACTAAACTGAGAAGCTCCGGAGTACGGAAATGACCGAGGTTCTTCATGACTGACCCCGTCCCCATCTCCACAATGAGAAATACGCGCCGTCGCTCATGACCGTCATAAAAGTGTGCGTTAAAGACTGTTTTGCAAACATGTTCGGACGTTGTAAGCGACACTGCGGCCGACTTGGGAATGCGTGTCAGAGTGGCGACCTACACCGACAGGTGGCTCGCTGTATTGTCTTTCACCGCCTGCAGTCTGTTAGGACTGGTGGCTCGCTGTATTGTCTTTCACCGCCTGCAGTCTGCCAGGACTGGTGGCTCGCTGCGGTGTCTGTTTCACCGCCTGCAGTCTGTTAGGACTGGTGGCTCGCTGTATTGTCTGTTTCACCGCCTGCAGTCTGTTAGGACTGGTGGCTCGCTGCAGTGTCTGTTTCACCGCCTGCAGTCTGCCAGAACTGGTGTCTCGCTGTATTGTCTGTTTCACCGCCTGCAGTCTGCCAGGACTGGTGGCTCGCTGTGTGTCTGTTTCACCGCCTGCAGTCTGTTAGGACTGGTGGCTCGCTGTGTTGTCTGTTTCACCGCCTGCAGTCTGCCAGGACTGGTGTCTCGCTGTATTGTCTGTTTCACCGCCTGCAGTCTGCCAGAACTGGTGTCTCGCTGTATTGTCTGTTTCACCGCCTGCAGTCTGCCAGGACTGGTGGCTCGCTGTGTTGTCTGTTTCACCGCCTGCAGTCTGTTAGGACTGGTGGCTCGCTGTGTTGTCTGTCTGTTTCACCGCCTGTTGTGATCACCTGCCTGATCACCAGTGATCACCTGCCGTCTGACAGGCGATCACTGCCGGCGTGTGCAGATACGGCGTTTTCATACGAAGTGTCCGGATCACCGGGCTGTCTGTCATATCCGTGTCTTCGTGGGGCACCTGTCTCACGTGCCTTACCCCAATCGGCAGGGCGACTCTGGCGGCCCGCTGCAGGTGCGTGGCAAGGACGGTCGCTGGTTCCTGGCCGGCATTATCAGCTGGGGTATCGGCTGCGCCGAGCCCAACCTGCCCGGCGTCTGCACCCGCATCTCCAAGTTCACCGACTGGGTGCTGGGCAAGGTGGCGTCGGCGTGACCGCCTCGCGCCTCAGCCGCCTGACTCGTGACCTCAGGACCGGGTCGTGACCTCTGGACCGGCTCGTGGCCGTGGTGAACTGGCGGATGGACGCGGTGATCAAGGCCGGGCGTCAGGTCCTGAGGCTGTGTTGAGCCCCGGCAGTGAGCCGCACTGACTGGCCGTGACCGTCCAGGGGTCGCTGTGGACACACCCGCACCGGCCGGCCCTCGACACCCACTGACCTCAGGCCGTGGCCCACCGCTCGGCCCAGTGGCGCAGGCTGCGGCGCGGGCCGATCCTCGGCGGTACAGACCTCCAGTGCCAATCCAGTGTTCAGTGGACAGACGCGGCGCTCTCCACGCTCGAGATCGGAGGCCCACCGCTCGGCCCTCGTCGCGCCCTGAGGCTGCCCCAGCGGCTGACCGGCGCAACCGGCGCTTGTCCGCCCGCGCTCGTCGCGCCCGGGACGCAAGGTCGGCGCCGACGACGCCACGTCGGCGTCGACGCGCGAGCGGGGAGAGCGAGTCGACTAGCGAGTGAGATTCGTGCGGGGCGTGCGCGAGGAGGGGGTTTCGAACGCTGCACTTTCACGGGAGCATTACGACCGGGCCACGAGCGCCCGCCGTCTGTTGACTGTTGTGTTTTAGGGACGCGAGGTCCGGCATACGTTACCTGTGCACTGCTGTTATCGTCCGGCGCTGTCGTGCGGGTGGGGCGCTGGTCGTCCGCGTGCCGGCGGCCGGTTATCCGTCCAATACACTCAGCGGGATTAGCCGCTGTCTCTCTCGCCGCTGCCGGCAATCGTCGTTACTCGCTACCCCGTCTTGGAAGCCTCGCGTCTAGAGAACTCGTAGGTAGACTTGTGATAAAGCTTTCTCCATTTTTCTACTGAGCAAGCATTTGCTAACATATTTGCTCATCCATGGAAAGTACGGCTAAGTACATACAACGTTCTTTTCTGATGGAGACCTTGAGAAACAAACACCACGACGGAGGCCGGTGGGGTCTCTGCGTGTGTCTATGCTCACTAGCCGGCCGTCTCCTGTGCAGGCCCAAATAAGCTGACAGACGGTTCAACAACTTTTGCGCAGATGACAACAAAATAAATGTTTGTAAACCACGTCGCACACATTCTTATTATGAGCATATTACATCAATTTGCCTTGGAGGTGCTGCTGGCTTGATGATATGAATGTTAGCTAGCAGCGCCACAAATATCTGCGAGGTTCTCTGATGTAGATACATCACTTTTTAAAAGAATCTAGTCGCATCAACAGGTGGTCACTCGGTTGGCGCCGGAAGTCGGCGGTGCCTTTGCTTAGCATGGCTTGTGGAGTGCACAACTTATCCCGATAACTAACCTGTACGGACTATCGGCTACTTTCGCTTCATCTGTCTGCCCAACAGCACACATTGGCGTGCGACCACACAAAAGTTCGCATCACATTTCTTCGTATGTAGCGCCTCGTTCGCAACTCTCATCATGCAGCTCCTCGTACGCAAAACGTCGTGCGCAAATATTCGCATTCAAGCGTTCGTACCTGGATAGCATAGCAATCGTAGATGTACATACCCGCAAAACTACGTACTAACAGTGCCTCAGACTTGGATAAGTTTGATGCGAAAAATGCGGGCGACGAAAAAAGCAGCACAAATGACTGGATAGAGGACGACATGTGGTACCAAAAATGGTGCATGCAAAACATGCGCTGAGAACAAATACGAAACAAAATAATTCCACGCCAAGAAATGCACACGCGAAGAGATGCAACGCGAGTCGTTGCGCATGCGAGGTTTGCCAGCTACGCATGCGAAGCTTGTCAACCGTTTGCGCTGTGAAAATTGCATCCGTACAACTACAGACTTTTGAGCTCGCGAAAATTTACGCACTAATAACAGATACGCAGTGTTATACAATACGACATTCCGTTTGCAAAGACATGCGCTACGGGAAATCCAACACAAAAGTATGTTCGGAACGTTGAAGTAATCTCTGACACCTCAGGAAAATTCCCCCTTAAACTGGCTATCATACCAGCCTTTTGTGAATTATGCACCATTGTGGGATAGAACCCGTTAAGGACTGGCATAAATATTTATTTTGAAGGATGGCAAAGAACCAGCATAGAGAATGCATGCATGCAGAGAACGCATAGAATGCAGGACGAGTGCATGAAACAAATCACTGGCGTCCTTTGTTTTACTATAGTCCAGCGGACTTTTTCTAAGCCAATAGAACTCAGAAGCGTTGTCAGAATCTTATCTAGGCTGTACAAAGTTATCGAGGACCCCGCAACTGCAGATCGAAATGGGTCAACAATTTGTAGTGATTTGGCCAAGCCATGTTTGTCTGGAAATGTTCAACATTTGGTCAGAACTGATTAGTGGTATAAGTTATGTAACTTAGTTTTGAGCATGTGCGCTCGCAAATCTTAGCAAAAAAAACCTCGACGTTAGCGTTGCAGTCTTCTCAGGCTATGCAGTGGCGGTCCCGCAGCAAACATTAAGCTATGCTATTTCGCTATGCTAAGCTATTTCGTTCATCCAATGGATGGACGAAAATGATGACATATTGGACAAAAGTACCTTTGAAAGCTATAGGACAACAAACCTTACATTTAGAAGGTGGCCAAGCGTATATTTCACGTGTGCGATTTTTAAATTGATGACGAACGTATTGGCCTTTACATCACCACGAAGTGTTGCTGAAATCTGGTGGCAGAACTGGAGAGTTAGTGTAGAATCTTTATTTTTGTGTTGCTGTAGCTGTTAATCTGACCAGAGGACAACCTCAAGGTTGCAAAAAAATAGCCCAGCCCGGTATCTGAAGATACCATTTAGTGTTCTAAGACATTCCGAAATATTATTCTACGACAATCGCTCTCGCGCACACGTACTCGCCGCCTGATATTTCTTGCAGTGGCCAACGCCGTTCGGTTTTATGGAAACTGCAAACTGTCCTTGCTTCCGAGTTGCGGGCGCGCAGGCTCAAACTTTTAAATAATTTGCTTCGCCAGTAGATTCTGCAAGAAAGTAAATGTTCTCAGGCAAACAAACGTCATATAAACCTTAATTGGATGCACTCGCTCGTTCTCAATTTATTTCGATTCATTCTTTTCAACACTAATGATACCCATTGTTTCCGCCCATGAGCTCCTTGAGTAGAACACAAGGAGGCACGCTCGTGTTCCCGATCAGGGGCTGAAGGTCCATTCTGTCCCACCGCGGGGTGTCTTCCGGCCACCATTCTGGCGACACTGGACGGATTCCCTGGCCGATCCGGAGTCCCTTAGGGGCATACATCATGTCACATTGGTCCCCTCTATGACACGGGTGGCCTTTTGACCCGTGCAGACCGCAGCTGACCCCGGATCGACACAGGTGCTCTAATTGACGGAACAACATTCCTGATCGCCGCAGGTGGTCCGAAAATTGGCACATGGACCTCAGCTCGGCTTAACGGGCCCATGCTGGAGTTGGGATGGTGCTACCCGTTGGTTGGTGATACCTCATTCTGGGCCTATGGTGGGGCCCATACTCATCCTCATTCTGGGCCTAAGCGGGACCATCCTCTCCCAGGTCTTTGCAGGTGTTGGAGAGAGAACATTTTCAGGTCTGAAAGCAAAAATGACCCTTCCCGGACTTGACCTGTGCCTTCTCTGGTATGGAAAAATGGCCTTTCTCAGACCTAACATGGGCCATTTCTGACTTAAACAGACGTAGGCGCATCCCGAGCCTAAAAGATGAGAGGTGTCTTTTCGGCACACAAGATGCTCCATTGTTCTGCCTAAAATGTACGGTCTCCTGATCAATAAGGGCCATTTTGTGTCTTCTATGGCCGTTTCCAGACATGAGATGACCGTTTCTAAACTTACCATGGGCTCCTTCTTAACCGAACACGGGCCCTTTCTGAACCTACGGTGGACCTTTCCTGATTGGAGATGGGTCATTTGCAGGCCTAAACTTACATGGGCGTTTCTGATCTGAAAATGGGCTCTTCAGATCTGAGTTGGGCCAATCATAAGCTGAAGGCCTAGCACAGGGCGGGAGGAAGGGCTAGGGGGGGGGGGGGCACCGGCAGCACACATGTTTCCCCTTTAGGCCAGACGGGCCCTTAGGGTTCTTTGAGACCAAAGATCAAGGGTCTAACTGGGGGCGCTAAGAGTTGGCCAGAGACTGTATCAGGAGATCCCGGTTCGTAAATGTCCATCAGAGGGCCTCTTGAGCCCATTGAGGGCCCCTGGGGACAAGGAGCGGATCGAACGGTCTGCCCCGTGGCGGCATAGGACCCATTTCCGAAGCTGAGACCATCCCGGGGCCCACGATTGCCAGTCAGGGGACCCTTTGCCTTGGTCGGGGTCACTGAAGCAAAGAGGGACCGTTGTATTGGTCAGGAGGGCCACAGTACGCCTAACAGGGGACCATATATTGGCAATGGTCCCGAGTCGACCATGGCTCCGTTTTCTGAACAGAGACAGGAACGTGACCCCGAATGTCAGGGAGCCTCTTTGTGACCGGGCCCGCTGATAGTAAAAGGAGACGGGATAGACGACAATGCAAGGGCTCATAGTGAGGCAGTGAAAGGGCCCTGTGCCAGGCACGGTCTCAATGTTTTTGTTAACATAACTGAGTCATGCTACGTTTTGATTAAGTGTCTTTCAGATTACTTGACGTCCGTTGCATCATTACCCATGAGACCCCAGACCAAAATGCAAAATTCGAAACGTCACGGGTGGGGAAGACGTCATCGCATTACCAGTAGGTGTTCATCTTGCTGACCACTTCGCAAGTGAATCTGCGGCACACAATGCAAAAATGCGCTGTAGGTGAGAACGGAACACCAAAACTCTACGTTTTCCGCCCTACAGATATGTAATAAGCCAGAGCTCAGAGACCAGGCGGGGCAAAAAGTTGATGCTCAACCCAGATGGCCGGAATTGTATTAGGGCTTTTCCAGTGGCCCGGTATGTTGCTAAAAAGACCTTTCTGCCCTGGGGAGGAGGTAATCTGGTGAATGTGCTAATCTCTGTTCTGCACTGGCGAGAGGTAGCTCCTTGTAGCACATATCGGAGCAGTGCGGTGACTCACGCTTGTTTGTTACCTAGCAGGACTGCCGTGGGGCAAGTCTGCAGAAACGTGCTGAAAATGTCGACACCAGGAAGCAATCGATAGCGTGCCGAGGAGCAGCTCATGTGACATCTGATCCGTTCAGCCCGCGCAGCTCATTTGTCAAGCTCCTGCTCAAATGTCGTAAAACGACACGGACCACGACGCCGGGTTAACGACAGCTGCGGTGACCTCCAGACATCAGTAGTTCCACGTTCTGCCGCTGGGTGCCTCTGTATTCCTGTCTTGCAAGGACGGAGGGCGCTGTGAGTGGCCGGTGCGGCGCAGTACAAGGGGTGAAGATGGCGAGGGCGTGGGTACTAGTGGTGCTGGTCTTGGGGATTCAGAACGCCTTGGCAGGTAGGTTCAATTGCGTTTGAGCGTTTTTTGGTGGAACTTACGATGATAGATGTTCGTTTGCGGGCTTTGGTTGTTCAGTGTCTGGTGTCCGTGCAGTTTTTGTTGGGTTCAACGACTTTTAACCCATATGAATTCTGAGATATAACCCGCTAGAGGGAGTTAAGGGAACTTAATGCAAGTTTTTACATATGTCATGTAGGAAATAAGAACTGTGACTCATACGTGACCATGGAACAGTCAGGTTTCATTCGCAGATAATTTTGAAACACTTTCGTAATGACCGACCGACTTAATCGCTAGTCTGAAATGGAATGAGCTACAGGCTCACGACACGTAACATAGTAAAATATTCCATTTTGGATGGTGGACAAATCTGAATTCGCAGCTCCTTGCAGCGGCGACGCGACGCATTTTGATGAGAGGGGGCAAACTTTTTCAAACCAAGCATTTTTCAAACTAGGGCCGTCTCCTCACAAGCCGGTTTCTTGGGCTCGCGGTTTCAGGACAGAAAGAACACCGGAGACACGTGCCCTACTATGCAATTTTATTATTTGAGTCATTATTAATTTCAATTGATTCGACAATGAAGAAACACCTTTTGCGAGAGTAAATGGGTCCAAATACAGATCGCCTGAAATATTCCGGAGGGAATTTGGAAGCAGGACCCGATAAATGTTATGGAATTTCTGGTGCAGTAAAGGGTTTCTCTTTCCGAGCCAGAGCCCTGTATTTCAAGCCAGGGCCTTCTGATGCATGGGGAAGCCTCTTATTCTAAAATACTATCCTTCCAATTCACAGCAGGGTCTCCAAATCCGACAACGGGCGTCAATATCCCAAAACTGGACAGCCGATCCGGACAAAAGGCCTTCTGACGCCTCGTGGTCCAGACTATGGGTCCCCTGACGCATAGAGGGTGCCTCTTTATCCAGAACATGGGGCTCTTAGTTCATGACAGAGGCCTCCCGAGCCAGCAGAGAGGTCTCCCTAGCACAACAGAGGGTCTCCTGATTGACAACATGGGCCTATTGATGCGGTCGAGGTTTTCTGCCTGATTAGCACGCCCCGGCTCAGTTTTGTGGGCCTCCTTGATCTGATTTTGGTAAGATATACATAGTTGCAAAAGCCTGACTTTGAGAAGGAAGCCGTAATAAAATTATGAGAACGCAAAAACGTGACCTTGCATCGGGGAACGGGGCCCGCGCTGCCCCCCCCCCCCTCCCCGCTGCGCTGTCTCTGACCCTGGAAACATGCAACGTGAACAGAGGCTGTAAAGGCGCTTAGCAATACGAAGGCAGTTAATGACGTATTGCCTCACTACAGTAGCGTCTTTATGCGAGTCTGTGCATCTTGGATCAGTAAGCGCATTTCATGCCGAGTTCAGATAAAGAGAGTCAGCGCTCAGCAAGCACCTCGCTTGGTTTTTATTCCCACCCTGTTCTCGGCCGACTGTGGGAGCGAAAAACGAGCTGGCTGGCATAGAGTCTGGGTTTGAATTTATTACCGGCTGCAAAGGTACCTCAAGGCCGGACGACAACCTGTTGCGATAAGGACGGACAAACATCTGAAGGAGAAGCATTCGCAGTGGCATACACAAGGCGAGGCACCGGTGGGATATGTGCAACAACCCTTATCAAATTGGCTCGTATGTTAATATGCATGTGAATGCATGTTAACAGTTGAAGATCTAGCGGGGCACATAACTTAAGTAGATTGAAAGTTAGAACCTGTCGTTCTGTTACACGTTATGCAAGAAACGTCACACGCCTGTGGCGTGCCTAAATAGGTTTTACTAGAGCTTTTCCACCGACGCACCCTCCCCAATGTGAAATCGTTCATATGTCCGTGAGCTTAGGTCGGTATTCTGAGCTCATGATTGATATGGGAACTCACCGTCACGTTGATATTCGCCTGGGCGTGCTTTGGTCACACCGCGCAGCTTTAAATTTCGCCCCAAAGGTACCTTCTGTGTGGCGACTGTCTTAAGGTACGCCTCTCGATGCCATCACTGCGTCAGAATAACGTGCAGGGCAGCTGTGGCCGACCGATCTGACAGGGCAGTGCTGGCCACTCTAACTGAACGATCCAAACCTCCGACTGAACTGTCCGAACCTCCGGCCGAGCCGTCCGAAGCCGCGATCGAACCGCCCGTCTTCCGACTGAGCCGTATGAACCTCCGACTGAGCCACCCGAACTTCCAACTGAGCCGTCCGAACCCCGAGTGAGCCGTCCGAACCTCCGACTGAACCGTCCTAGCCTCCGACTGAATCGTCCGAACCCACGACTGAACCATCCAAACCCACGACTGAACTGCCCGAGCCTCCGACTGAACCGTCCGAAACCACGAATGAACCACTGGAGCCTCCGACTGAGCCGTCCTAACCCACGACTGAGCCGTCCGAACCTCCGACCGAGCCGTCCGAACCTCGGACTGAACCGTCCAAACCCACGACTGAACCGTCCGAACCTCCGACTGGAACCGTCCGAACCTCTTGCTGAGCCGTCCGAACCTCCTACTGAACCTTGCGCAGCGTGGGAAGACCCACCTCTGTGAGTGCACGCACAAAGGCTGTACTAGATGCGTGTCTTGGCTGACCCGCGTCTGGCCGCTTTGCGTGCGGGACTCTTGCTGACGAAGTCAGCTAGTGGCCCGTGCTAATGAACCCAGCTCATCAAAAGCTTGTAAGATCTTCTTGACCGTGCAGGAAGCCTGGGAAGCATAGGAACGTTTCACAAAGTGGGAGGGAGAGGCTCAGGGTATACTGAAGAAGGCTTTCCTGGGGACGGTCAGGCCCGCCGACCATGGGGAGACCAGAGGTGAACTTTGTTCGCTCTTAATCCTCGCCCTGGTAAGATTTTCTGAGGATACCTCTCCGGCATGTGGCACATCACGCCCAAATTTTCAGTAGCCTGTGAGACGTCCTTTACACATGTTTTGGTACCAAAGAGGTGTCTCCAGTATTGCTGGTTTCGGAGCAGGGGCGGTTTGTGAGGTTCAATGGACACTGCACTGCGCGGCGTTCCGCGGCCTGCGCGGACGCCGGGCGACGACCATCGATGGCGCGCAACGCGTGTGACGGGCCGACATTAGTACATTAATGGAGCAATGTATCGTACATGTGTGGTCAAAGCGCATAGAACTATACACCATTGTACCCAAAATTGATCAGGAAACACGGTTAGGTTTTGTGCTGCGATAATATACGATCTTGTAGACATGGGCGTCTAAAGGTAAAAAGTTGGATTTTCTGAAGAATGAAAAATTGACCTTTGACTGGCCTAATGGATTCGATTATAGACCTAGAGACATAAACCCAATCATCAATCGCGACATATCGTTGAGACCAATTCACTGATGTGTTCTGGTAAGCTTTATCTTCTTACTTTGGAAACGGCATCACCTCCACTCCCCTCGCTCTCCGTCTGTGTTATGAAAACGGTAAATCAGGGCGGGGGTCCATTCACAACGCATTTTCGAGATCAGGAAATGCCCTGGCTTCTGTGCTGGACATGCGCCTGCAGCTGCTCTCTACTGGTGTAAAGTCTTGCCTACTCGACATATATGTACCATTCAGCAATTAAGACTACCCGGCTTCCCAAATTATTCATCCGTTTCAACATGGTTTCTTCTAGGGAGGCAAAGTTCCGCAAGTGGGTAGATAATTAAGGTCATTGGGGAGGTATCTGTCTCTACAGTTCGCATGTAAAATTATGGGCTAGGCAAAGGCTGGTCAGAATTTTGAATTTGAATCCATGGTCATTGTGCACCAGAATGTCATGTGTCTGAATTATGCCGGCTGCCTTTTAAGAGACAAGTTTTGTCGCACCATGCTAGTCGGAAGAAATTTCGGAAGCTGTAAGTACTACCTGACAAAAGTGACAAAGGCCATAACACCAGGGTTTTTTCTGAGAAAGTCAGAATGAAGACCTTTCTCCCGGATAGACCTTGTCTGAACCTTGTCTGAACCCCACCCGCGCTCGACGACCTCTGTCCTGGAGCCAGTTGTCTGCCGCATGACTGAATGTGAACTGATCGTTTCACTAATTTGCCACATGTCATTGGATTATCATCATTACTTGTTGGGATGCAAAGCAGATGGGACTTCTGCTATAGCACCTATTTCAAAATTGTCTTCCCTTACACTACACCAAAGCAGAAAATCAACTTTGGAAAACTGCCTGCCTTAGACCATGAATTGGTTCTCCAGGCATCCACTTGCCCTTCCTTCAGCGCAGCCGGCTTGATCCACTGTTGTATGTAGAACGAAGGTACACATTGCACATGTTTCTGAAATAAGCTGCGTGCCTATATCTTCGTTGGGGTTTAGCGTAACCGGGTATCTTAAGAAAAAGCTGATATTTCATATATTGCCGGCTTTTATGTAACTTCTGTCAGTAATTATCATTATTGCGTTTTTATCCTGACGTGCACTAGGATACATAACTTCAGACTCCCTACTCCAGCATGTGGTGGGCACCTGGAACTGGCTTCTTGATGGCGACTGATTCTTTGACCTGGCAGACACCAGCTGGCGGGAGGCGAAGGGGTCTCCGACTTAGATAGATAGTCTCAAATACCTATACCTGCAGGCTGCTTGGAATTACTAAAAAAAGGGGGTCGATGTGTCGTCGAAATGCACCGACATGTGCCTCGAGGCTCAGCACAAGCCGCAGTTAATAACGGAAGGCTACAACCATTTTCGAAACTTTGCTAGTGTGTGACGAACACACTTCGCTGTCGACCACAGTGTACTTGTCGACGCGGCGCCGAATCCTGACATATAGACAGACGTGTTGCACATGCGGTGTGTGTGTCACTTGTGGTGTATCGTGCTGCACAGTTCTGCCTCTGCCCGACGAACACACCTGCTAAACACATATCCCTTAACTTAGAACTATTCAGAAATGCCTCCCGTAATGTTTTTTTCGTCTTATGAAAAACCTTTCAATGATCCATCGGTCAGGCAAATAAGGTAACGATGCCCCCTACAGAAAACCCTCGC